AACTCCGCAAGTTGTGAAGACTGGCTATTTTGATACGTCAAATGTCTTTCACGATGCTATCAAGGGAAAGGATGAGAATGGCAATGATGTCTATCTTATTCCATGTCCTGCTGGAACGACTAACGTCGAACTTCAATCCGACTGGCACTACGCTAGTAAAATTGAAGATTTGCCTGATCTTGCTACTGAAGCAGATCGAGGTATGCAGTGATGTCTTCACAAGGAGGCTAAGTTTACTGAGACTTGATCCACTGGTGGTATTTACAACCTCATGCCTGCAATGCATCATGAATGCAAGGTGAAGTCAATACCCTCAAGTATCAGCTCTAGGAATCATAGCTAGGGTAAGTTGGCAATAAGTATTACATGTTTTATGTTCTCACACAACTTCAGTTGGATCAGATTGTGCTGTTTCTGAGAGGCAATGAATGAAGATGGTACATTGAATGGGGACTAAGGAAGTCCCGATCGGTGAATTGAAAATGTCATGACTCATGACCTATTTTTTTTCACTTTCCCAAACATACCGTACCTCACACAACACTACCTGGTACCAGTAGCAAGAGATGTTCAGTGTGACTAGGCGGCTTGGGCTAGCTGTGCAACGACAAGATGCATCACATAGATTTACGAATAGAGTCTTCAGGTTGCGTGAATATTCGCTGTCACCCCCCCTGCCACCAGTACAGACTCTGGTTGCTAGAACACGATGGCAAGGTTTGAAAGATCTTCTCTATGATGGATTGGTAATGATCAGCACCTTGAAACGACGCCGAAAGATGATGAATAAGCACAAGTTGAGGAAACGGCGAAAAAAGAATCGGATGAAAACGAAAAAGTAACTTCATGTGATGCGGATGCAACATTCAAAGATGGTGAAATGCAAGAAAAAGAGCAACTACCACCTTCAAATGATCTGTTACCTCCTTAGATGATCTCTCGCTTCTTCATCAACCGTACCAAAAATTTTTGTTTGGGTTGTTGTCGCAACATCACACCACTGAATATAATCAGAAAGTAAACTGTCATGGATACCTTGGTCTTTCAAAAGCTTTTATTTATAGATTTAGTTTTTATACCCTATGGTTTTTACTCATCTGAATTCCATGTGCCTCGTGGTACTAGATCTGTGGTCTCCCTTGGGGTGTAGCCTTCCATGGGGTGTCTAACAGATGCCAATTTTATTTCAGTTGCATTCCCGCGATTGAGCTCATCGAATTTGCGAAGTCCAGCTGAGCTTTGAAGAACTGTTGCCACTTGCCGAGTAATGCGAAGAAGACTGGTGCTTCTTTGATGGAGCTGCAAAGATTTCCCAGAAGCGCAACGTCTCATCACCAGCAGCAGAAACAATAGTACTACCATCGGGACTAACGCACATATGCAATACCCGTGATGTATGTCCCTCCAACTCTTTGATCTTCCCCATGGATGGGTACTTCCACAGGCAAAGTTGGTTGCGAGCAAATCCATGACTGGAAAGAATCTCCTTCTCGAAGGGACTCCACTGCAAGGCGCAGACTTGTGATCCTGTGTCGATGGAGTTTAGACAAGCTCCGGTCTGAGAGTTCCAGAATTTGATACAACGATCAGCTGTTCCCCCTCCTGTCGCTAGGAGATGGCGTTCATGAGGAGACCACGCAAGCGCCTTTACGGCAGCTTGATGGTCAGTCAACTGAAATCTGGGACCAGGATTGTTGAGGCTTGTTTGCGTTGCATCCCAGAGACACAATAGATTGTCGTTACCACCGCTTGCCAACACTTCTCCATCATTACTCCAAGTTAGTCCACAAACTTCTTGGCAATGCGCAGAAAGAGTCGCCACATTGTGCTTCGAAACTCTGACATCATGGTTGACAATATTCGTGTCGCGGCTCCCGGTGCTCAGAATATGCCGATTCCATGCCATGGAACCCACGCGGTCGGTATGTCCATCCATGGAACGAAGCTGTTTGCAGGCATGAACATCCCAAAGCTGTGTCTTGCCACCAGAAGTACCCACTGCCAGATGTGCCCCTCCCTCTTGCACCCATGCCACTGACGAGATATGCGAAGAAGGTCCATCGTCATATGTACAGAGCTCGTGGATGTCGCCGGTTCCTGCATTCCAGAGGTATACAGTATTTGCAAGGGCTACTGCAAGGATATTTGTATCGCTCCAAGATATCAAGTTCAGGTAGTAGTCGTCCATAAGGTCTGGAGCATCGAGAACTCGACTTGGTGCAGAAGGAATCGGGCGACTTGCTAGTTTTGCGTTCGACTTCTTCTGCGGCCCAGATCTAGCGGCGGAATATAGAACGTTCAAGTTGTTGACAGTATCCCCCTTTGGTTGCGGAGCTTTGTCCTTGAAGCTCATAATGCGATTGTTGGATTTATCATCGACACCGAGAAGCGCTGCACTGAGCCGAGATTGGTACTCTTGCTTGTTAGCATCGGGAACGACTTGCTGGTTGCTTGGAAGATGACTTTGGGTTTCTCCCTCTGGCCCATCCGACATTGTCATATCTTCCGTATCACCTCGAAATATGTGCTTGGAAAGTTCCATGTTCATACCAGCTCGATTAGGGATGAATCTGTCACCACCATTTTTGGAGGAAAGGGGTGCTCTATCCCGCGCGTTTTGACGTTTACGTTCCCAACGGGGACAGACATTTGATCGCACTGACTTGTTACTATCAGTAAACGATGTATTCATGAGATACTCGTAATCTACAACCGAGCGAGTCATCTCTCACTGTAGGTCCATTCGATGATCCCAGAATGGCAACAATAATAACAATAACAAAAACAAGATGAGAGAATACTTGAAGTTGAAACCGGTACACCGAGGTACCGTAGCCTTCAATCTGCTTACAGTTTATTTTCTTTCTTTGATGGTATTTACCTTCGAATTTCCAGTGGTGTACCAATGATTGACAACCAAAATCTGACAACAAACAAGGTCTCGTTTGTCGTTTGTGAACAAGCACTTGGTTTTTTAAAAACTCGACTGGCGTGAATGCGACGAAAAAAGGATGAACATTTTATTAGTTCATGAGGAATATATACGGTATATTTACGTCCGAACGACAAATTCCTGTAACGGATTCTTTGAGAAAAGCTTGAGTACAGAGTTAGTCGAATCATCTCTTGCATCAGCTCGAAGGGCAGACGAACGGCGCCAACCAAAAGATATCGGGACTACATGGAGATTCCGGAATTGCACGCGTGCGCCCGTCAAGTCGGTACCGCTCTACTAAAGCCACGCCGGAAGCACTGCCGAAAATTGAAGGATGAAACTGCCATTCTCTTTCTACCCGAGTAGTGCTCGAGTATACTAGACAACAACACGAGGACAAGTGCACTGGTCTATCGGTTTCAGGCTTCAAATAGTACATTTGAAGTTATCGTGATTACACGCTTGGTTTTTTGTGGTTTTTTCGTAGTCTGTTCCTAATCTCCGATCATGACTGACTATTTGAAGAATCTTAAAGCAGCGTCTTCCCGGAAGTCACCTCCTCAGGTGGTTACGGTGGCTGTTGATGATAGTTCTATTATGTCGGGGGGGGTTGCGAAGAAGATTGGATTGTCGGTTAATTCACGGGGTTCACTCGGGGTCGAGGATTACGAAGGTATGAGACAAAATGTTCTGTCTGGTGTAAATATTGGTGGTATTGAGGTGGGTGGTTCCAGCAGCGAGGTCAAGGCCGAAACCAAGCAGAAAACTTCGGGAGGGAAAGCGTCGGATAGGAAGACTTTGTTTTACTTGAAGGACGCACCAGGCGCATCTATTTGCTGTGTGTCAGTTTCCTCATCCGCTGGAGGGCAAAAAGCTTGTGGAGAGAAGAAGGACCCAGTAACGAACTTGTGCGATATTGCCTCGCACAGATCGTTAGTCCCGATTGATAAATTGCAGTTTCCAGCTTTGTACTGCCGCTGCAAAAAGCTGGGAAGAGGAGGGGAGACTTTCTATTGGGACTCTATGTCACATGTGAAATTCAGTGAGCTTCCTTCCGCTAACACAGCTCCTTGGCTTACCGACAAAGACACCAAGGCCGGGTGGACAACTCGCATTCACGAGTTGAGAACGTCAAGTGCGACCGGAAGCCCGCCTCCACAGGCCTCCAGAACACTTAAGTTTGAAGTGGATGAGAACACGATCTTGAAAAATTCGTTTACGCCAGTAAAAAAAGAGAAGAACGTGACGGGAAGCGAATCGTCTTACAAATTTGTTAGTGATCATGGAGCTGATTTTTCTGCCGAAACTCCGACGTCATCATCACTTAAAGATATGATCATTCCGTGGACCTCTGAGTATCGATTCGCGGAGGTATTTCAAGATGCATTACTGGAACAAAAGATGATGATCGAAGAAGTCAACAACTTCACCAGCGTGATCGACAAAAGATCCGTTGATACGATCATCAAGGTAAATGCTCTGGCCGTGGTTTGCAATACTTTCAAAAGACGAATTGGCGACGGGGCAGAATTTGAGAACACAGCAGGGTTCTCCACCATTTATGATGGATTGATGGGTATTTACCGGGATCTTGTGGCCACCACTGGACGTATGATAGATGTTCAGTCTGCAGCAGAATTGAGCGATCACGGTCTGGAACATGGTCTGGCGACCATTGAGACCAAGGTTGAAGTGTTGAATACGAAGGTCCAAGATCTGGATGCCGATCACGGAATGTTGATCTTAGGCCAGCAAGAGATCCAGGAGGTCAAGAAATCACTCGAGGTATCTATGGCTTCTCTCTGTGAGAACGTGCTACCTGGTGACATTCTTGAAATGAAGGAGGATTACTATGAGGATCCTAGAAAAACTCTTGGTCAACAAGTTCAGTCTCTGGAGACCCAAGCCAACTCCCGCTCTGCGGGCACCAACCTGTTGAGCTCCTTAAGCAACACAGGCTCTGTGGATAGAAGAGGCCTAGCCATTGGCGGTTCTGCGAATCAGCTCGACGCAGTCGTGGCCAGGCTCGAACGACTGGAGATGGCTAACGCCTCATTGAGAGAAGAAGTGGCCAGACTAACTGCTGACGCAGCACCTCAGCCAGAGTTGTCCCCAGCCCCTTCGACAGCTATGCTCCAACAGCTGAAAGAATGAGTCTCTCATTTGGAACAAAAAGACAACGAGAAGGTTAATGTGGCGGGATTCTCTTTCGGAGGAGTGGCAGATTGTCGACATTTTTTAAATACCAAGATGGTATTTGACTCCGAGTCCAGTGGTCTCTTTGGTACAGATGTTGTCTCAATTGTGGACGGCGTGACAACTGAGGGGGGAGAATCGCTGCCAACAGATGTCCTGAGGAGGGACGAATATGCAACAAAAGCGGGGTTTGATAACATCATGGCCGCCAAACTGTACTTGTCCATCCAAAGACCCATCCAATCCCTCTTGCTGGGAAAGGAAATCACCCGTTACCGGCCATCAGTACATTTGCTAAGTGGGACGAACAGGATGGAATGCGAGGACTTCGGTATGAGATAACCAGAGGGGTGGACCACGAGGTGAATCAAACCACTGAATGGATCCGAGCTCAGTTAAAACATCACCCTGAAGCTGTGCTAGTGTTTACCATTCTGGTGCTCGACTCCAAGCAACACTGGATGGCTATCTCTTCATTTCTCACTAACCAAAGAGGTATTTGCATGCAGCAGAGTGACGACGAAGCTGAGGCTTGGGTGTATCCTTGTGAAGTTATCAAGGGTGTATTCATGGAGCTTCATCGCGTTCGAAGTGTGGGTGCAATGAGATCAAAACTCGGCCGACTTACCCTTGATGATGCAGCAAGAATGATGTGGGCTGTCCTGCGGTGCCATCAGCTAATGAATTCCTTTATTGATTTGAAATTCACGAGACATCCAAAGCTCTCTGGATATTCGTTGAGTCATCTGTTTCGTCACAGATTGACCCCCAAGAACTTGGACTCTATGAAGGCACAGCTTTCTCAGTTTCAGAGGGAAATGACCACGTTCAATGCTAAGCTGGCCAAGAAGGAGGACAGGGGCGCTTGAGAGGATGGTACAGGGCATGAGGAAAGGGATCACGACCAAGGGGAGGTGGATATGGAATTGTTGGGAGTGGTGCCATCATTGCAGGCCTTGGGTGATCGTCCCACGGCTGGCCTGATAGTACAAGGAGTCGAAGAATGATTGTGGGTGGTGAAGAGCCTTGGAATGACAGTTAGTTGGGTTTGGGCGCAGAAGGAAGACTGGCTTCCTACTTGGTTGAAATCAGAATTGCCGGGAGTAGTTATGACGACTAATCGGAACCGGTAATCCACAGTAAATGTTATTCTATGTGAGCACAAACCCCCTAGCTGGTTGGCGGCCTGGGATCAAGCGAACTTGATCGTATCTACAATGGATGGTAGCTTTTTGAGGTCCAAGTGGTCTAAAAGGATCAAGATGACGCACAATGAGTTGGGAGGACTGACCACAGCTTCTGTGCACTTACAGGCCTACAGCTCAATCGATCGAAAATGGATTCAACCGACCCCATTGCAGACTCTTCCCACCACGGTTTATTCTGTGGCCAGTGACACAGTTGATGTGGGTACTAAGGTATCAGGGCCAAAGGTTTCGATGCTGATGGGAAAATCGAGAGTCCAACGGATAGCTCCCAACACTTACCATGGGGGAGGTTTGTACCCATTGGATGGAAAGCCAGGAGTAAAGCCGTTTTTCATATTGAGATCGGTCCTGGTTAATGGATGGGTAAGGCAAAGGTTGACGACGGTGGAAGAATGGACAGTACAGGATGCGCCAGTGAGAATAGTGAAGTTAGCTCAAGAGGCAGGGGAAGATATGAACCGGCTGTGGAAGTCATTAAGACCTGGGCGGTGTCTGAAACATGGATTACGCCATCTGCTATCAGGGATCGGTGTAACTGATAGAGATGGGCGGATTTCCAAGAAGTTACTCACCTTTGGACGTGCCGAAAAGGAACCCCCAACTAGAGTCTCGGTAAAGCGTGGGATTGCTGAAATTACGCGAAGCTTGAATGAAACTTCCTTGAGAAAGGAATCGAAAAAGCTGAAGCAAAAACGGATATCCGCATCAAATAAAATCGGTGAGACGCAAGCAGAGTTGGAAGGGCCGGAAGATTGGGACTCGGAGGAAGAAGTGGATGTTAAGGCCACTAAGAGCGATGATGCAAAGGTGGATTTTTCCAAGTGGAACAAAGAGGTCATTCGGACGCTGAGATCTCCAGAGTTGCCAACAGTACATCCAGCGTTAGCGATCGTGACACGTTGGATGGAAGACCGAGCTCTAAATTCGTTTCGCAATTGGATGTTGAAGTGGTATAAGAGAAAGACCACGAAGGGTACTTTGACTGGAAACGCGGTGGTCCAACAAAGAACCCAAAAGAAGGTTCGGTGCGGTGGGACGTACATATGGGAGAGAATGGCGAGTCTGCTCAAAAATACCGAAGATATATTTGGACTGAGAATGGCCGCACTTTATATGAAGAGTGGTGGAGACAGAATTATGAGGAGGATCAAAAGGAAGCAGAAGCGGCTTGGGATGCTCTAAGTCGTCTCTCTGATACTACTTGGTGGGAATGGAAGGACGGATCTAGATGCATGCATTGGAAGTGGCCGAGGTTTTACCAGAGTACGATATGCGATGGTCTCGAAGGACGTTTCAAGTACACACCCAAAGCCTGGACCCAACCTCAGCGGGCTGGACAGAATCCTAAAGCTCACGGACTGATGAAGATCAAACTTCAGCTAGTTCGAGCAAAGCGGTACATCACGAAGGGATTCGTCAAGTCATTGACTTCATTCTTTGGAGTGGATAAAGGCCTGTTCGATATCAGAATGGTGTATGACGGTACCAAATCAGGACTAAACGATTCTCTGTGGGTGCCGGAGTTTCCCCTGCCAACTGTTGATACAATGCTAAGGGCGATCACGTAGGATACTGTCATGAGTGATTTCGACATTGGAGATTGTTTTCTAAATTTCGTATTGCACGAGACTCTCCAATCTTTGTGCGGAGTGGACCTTACTAAATACTTCGGAGAAGGTGATATCTTGTGGGAACGCTGGGTTCAAGCCGCAATGGGATTGAAAAGTTCACCGTTCCAAGCTGTGCAAGCCATCATGGTGGCCAAGGAGATTGCCTTGGGAGATAGGAAGGATCCGAAGAACGCATTTAGGTGGGACGAAGTCAAGTTGAACCTACCAGGTTCAAGTACGTATGATCCCAGCTTGCCTTGGGTGTTCAAGATCCGGTGGTCTGATGGTAAAATCGCTGCGGATTTGTTCATCTATGTTGACGATGGCCGAGTTACAGCATCCAATAAGTTGGAATGTAAGCAGGCAACTCGACAGGCGGCTAGTCGTTTGAATGGACTTGGTATTCAAGAGGCAGCGAGAAAACAAAGATGGGGATCACAAAACCCGGGAGCCTGGGCTGGATCATTGGTAAAAACCACTGAGGATTCAGTAAGTGTGTTCGTGTCTCAAGAAAAATGGGACAAGACCAAGCTGCAGGTCAAGGAGATCGCGGAAGAACTTAGTGGGTCCACGTTGGGGTCTTTGAAGCACAAGGCGCTAGAGAGAAAGCGCGGGTTTCTAATCTATGTTACTCGAACCTACCCAACGATGGTTCCCTACTTGAAAGGAATACATCTGACCCTTGATGCTTGGAGACCAGGTCGAGATGATGAGGGATGGAAGTCTATTGGTTACAAGGGAGAGTCGCCAACTCCGACTTCACAAGACGCTCCGGAATATGTGAAGCCAGTACCTAGACTTAAGGATGACTTGGCTGCGTTATCGGCTCTCACGGCCTCAGAGAGCCCCCCGATTCGGAGAGTACGCAGTAAGAGGGTGATGACGGTATTCTATGGGTTTGGAGACGCATCAGCGGTTGGATTTTGCAGCACGTTTCAGCGCTTCTCTAAGTAAGGAAGCGGCTTCTTCGCGGAAGACAAAATACACTATCGGTATGGGCACTGGTGCACAACCAATAGCGAGGAATCATCTAATTACAGGGAGTTGCTGAATCTGATGGAGTCTCTGGAAATGCGAGTACAAAATGGCGAATTGTATGGTGTGGAGATTTTTCTATTCACTGACAATTCTACCGCCGAGAGCGTGTTCTACAATGGGAACTCCTCATCAAAAAGATTATTTCATCTCATACTAAGGTTGCGGCGAGTACAGCAGGAAGCTGACTTGATCCTTCACCTCTTGCATGTGTCGGGCAAGAGAATGATAGCGCAGGGTACGGATGGCGGCTCAAGGGGAGATTTGAACCAAGGGGTCATGACGGGAGAAAATATGCTGAGTTATGTACCTTTGCATCTTTCTGCAGTGGATAGATCTCCGTCAGTGCTTGATTGGATGAGAAACATATGGGAGGAAAGATTGGGAAAATTGGAGCATCTGGGAATAGATGATTGGTTCACAAAGGGCCATGGAAGAGGAAATTTTCTGTGGACGCCCCCTCCGGCGGCCGCGGATGTGGTGGCAGAGCAAGTAGGAGAGGCGAGGCATAAGCACCCTGAATCGTGCCATATTGCCATCGTCCCACGTTTAATGACGGGGAGATGGAGACGTTTACTTACGCGACAAACCGACTTCAATACCACCATACCATTGGGTTCCAGTTGCTGGGGCCATAAAGACTTTGAACCACTAACAATGTTTGTCTATCTTCCTCTTATACCCCACAGACCTTGGAGTTTGCGAGGAACAAAGTTATTGGAAACATTGGAGTGGCAACTGCGCGCTGTGCGGGAATGCGGTGAAGAACGGAGAGGGGAACTTCTGCGGGAACTTTTCTTTCACACGTGGAAACTTTCCAGCATGCCGGAAAGTGTGGTGTCCGAAATGCTACACCGTCCCAGCTGGAAGTCCCTATCCTATAAGAACAGCAACTGATGAAGACGGCTTTGAGGTAGCAATGGATGGAGATGAAGATAGATTTCGAGTGTCCAGAGTCGGGGATTTTTTGATGACTCCATTTCAGTGTGACATTTGTCATTTTAGAAACGTCATGAAACGGAACCCAGATATTTGTAATGAGAAGCATATGCTTTTCATGCAAGACATTCGCCACGCAAACATAAATGCCAATTGGTCCCGCGAGTCAAGCACGGTCAAGGCAAATTTTGCACAAGTAAAAAGACTGGAAAAGGTGGGTACCGATATGTTTGGAATCCCAAGTGTAACCCCGGTAATGGGCCCGTTTCCTTTGGAAGACACTTTCGGCATGGCCATCGCAGCTTGCCTACTTAGAAGATCTCTGGACCCTGGCCGGAACGAAAACACCATTCAGTTTGCCACAGCTCGGAGATTCCGATCCGCTTTCTCTAATGCTGTTGGTGAAATGGGATCTTAATAGATAAAAGAACAGTCGAACATGTCGGACAGTGAAGTCGGACATTCGTGGTATCAAACACGTACAGGAGTACGGTTTGAGTATGTACAGAGATGGATTAGTATTGAAGGTAGATCCAGATCTGTGACTAGTTCGTGAAGAACATGTGCGTATGTGCTTTATACGCCGCGACAGCTGGTGAGAGCTGACGCAGATGGCTTCCGGAAGAGATTTTTTGTACCTGCTTGTGGAGATCATTGTTGAT